ACCCTCATCTGAATGTAGGTAAGTCCTAGTTCCTGTCCCCCAGTGGAGAGCTGCTGGTTCTGAACACTGTTTGCACTTGAAGTGTTGCTGCTGCATTGATTCTGACTCAGGGCAACCCTGTATAGGTTTCTGAGGAGCAGCGGGTGGGTTAGAACTGCCACACATGACTTCATAAGATTGTTGTTAGATGCTGTTGAGTCGACTCATAGCGACCTTAGGCACAACAGAATGGAATACTGCCCGATCCTGTGCCAACCTCACAATTGTTGATAAACTTGAGCCCACTGCTGCTGCCTCTGTGCCAACCCATGTCGTTGAGGGTCTTCCTCTTTTCACTGACCTTCCACTTTACCAACATGATGTCCTCCTCCAGGGCCTGGTCCCTCCTGGTATGTCCAAAATGTGAGAGACAAAGTCTGACTTCTAAGGAGCATTCTGGCTGTACTTCTTCCAACTCAGATGGGTTGTACTTCTGACAGTCTGTGGTACTTTAAAAATAATTCTCTAACACCTTAATTCAAATGCACCAATTCCTCTGTGGTCTTCCTTATTCACTGTCCAGCTTTCACATGCAATTGATGGTTATTGAAAATACCATGGCTTGGGTCAGGGTTGAGGCATGGCTTAGTCCTCAAGCTGACTTCTTTGCTCTTCAACACTTTAAAAAGGTCTTGTGCAACAGATTTGCCTAATGCAATACAACATTAGATTTCCTGACTGCTGCTTCCATGAGTGTTGATGGTTGATCCCAGCAAAATGAAGTCTTTGACAACTTCAATCTTTTCTCCATTTATGAGGATGCTACATAGGATTCCAGCCTTGGAAATCCCGTGGGCAGTTCAGCTTTGTCCTGCACGGTTGCCACGGGTCTGAAGTGACTTTATGGACAGTGGGTTTTGGTGTTCTGAGCCATGTGTCTATACTCTAACCCCAACCATGCCCAGGCTTTTCTTACTGGCTTCTCCCACTGGTTTCAGCCTCAACCTTCATCTCTCTGGCTGAAACCTTGGGCATTGGAACCCTCTCCTAGCCTGTAATTCATGACCTTCCTCAGGCCCCTGAACCTACCTGTGGCCTCTGGTCATCTCTTCGCACCAGCCCTTCCCCCACATGGACACCAGGTCCCCACATGGGCCTGTTTGCTTTCCCCAGGAGAAGCCACTCCCCTCACTCTGACACTGGTCCCTCCCTGGGTCTACTGGCTCCTTCCCCCCTTCCCCATTACCCTCCCTCTCCGGACAGGACCCCTGTGCTTCGTCAAAGAGGGAGGGGTGCAGACCTTTGGGTCCAACAGAGACTGGTTCATGGCCAGCTGCCCTGGAGTCCATTCCAACCCATTCACGTGTGCCCCACAGGGTTTTCCTAGTGTGACCCTAGAGGCAGACCACCAGGACTTGCTTCCAGGGCACATCTGGATGGACTTGAACTGCCGGCTGTTTGCATGTTTGTGCCACTCTGGCGCTCCTTTAGTATGCTAAGACCCAACCCAACCCAACTCCATCTGTAAGATTCCAACTCGTAAGTACCCTATCTAGGGTCTCCGAGACTAAATCTCATCCTTCTTCCTAGGAGCAGCTGGTGGGCTTGAACCTCCGAGGAGTGGTGTGGCGCTGTAGGATAAAGCACTGGACTGTAAGGTGGGTTTGAACTACAAACCACTCCTTGGAAACCGTTATACAGGATTGCTATGACTTGGAACCACCTGGAATGCACTTAACCACTTTGCAGTACTGTTAGCAGTCTGGTGCTTACTCTGTTGTATAACCTGTGTTAGAAGGAGAGAGGGTGCTATGGGGAAAAAAGGAAAACAGAAGTAGGGTGAGGAGGAGGGACCCTGATGGCGCGGTGGGTTAAGCCACAGTCCGCTAACTGGAAGTCCGTGGTTTGAACCCACCAGCCGCTGTATGACACAGGGCGGAGCACACGGCTTCCAGGCTTCCATACAGATTTACAGCCTGGGAAGCCCTACGGAGCAGTTCCACTCTGTCCTACAGGGTCACGTGAGTCAGAGCCCACCTGACCAAGGGGAGTGGCTTTTAGGATGAGATCCGGAGGTCAGGTGGAAATGTGAAACTGAGTTGGTGGTGTTGGCCATTGACTGGCTCACGGTGATCACTTTAAGTGCAAGGTATAAGCGCTCCACAGGGTTGTCAAGCCTGTGACCTTTACCAGGCAGATCGCCAAGCCTGTCTGCTGAGGGGCCTCAGGGCGGCTTAGACACAGCAACCTTTTGACTTGGCCATTTACACAGCCCTGGGGCCTCGTTTCAGCTCTTCTGGTGAGTGTCTGATGCCACCACGTTGGGTTTTCCTTTGTGTCTCCCGATGTGGAATGAAGGAGCCCTGGCGGGGCACAAGAACAGACAAATCTGTCGTGAAGAAGCTAGGATGCTCTTTGCTGGCCATGTTGTCAGGAGGGACCAAGTCCCTGGAGAAGGGTAGAGTGGTTGGTGAAGTGCAGGGTCAGTGAGAAAGACAAAGACCCTCAGTGACATGGGCTCCAACACTGGGCTCAAGGTAGCAACGTGTGTGAGGACGGCAAGGGGCTGGGCAGTGTTGTGTTGTGTTGTACATAAGGTCACTCTGAGGTGAAACCAGCTCAATCGCTTCTAGTAACAACAGCTGGCCATTTGGGTGTCGTTTCCTGCCAAGGGGCCTACTCGTACCTCCTCCCTTTGTTCTGGCTCCTTGTCTTAACGACTGGGACTGGCGTGAGGGGGCCTGAGTCCTTGGTCAGGGGGCTGTAGACCGAGTGTAGTCTCTCAGTCTTGCACTGTGTTAATGGCACCAGTTGATGAACAGAACTTTGCAATGTGGATGAAGCCTAGCTTGTTTTTGTTTTTTTAAAAAATATATATTTTATTTCCATTTATTTGTGGGTTGGGTGGGGTTTACAGAGATCAGTTTTCCATTCGACAGTTCATACACATTTAGTTTCCTGGCAGTGACTGCAGCCCCCCCGCCCCCCAGTGTAACATTCCTCACCCCACACTGCGGGCCTGGACTTTCTGCTGCTCTTCCCCTGACACTTGTCTACTGTTTGGCTGAAAATGGAGCCACTGGGCTGGGGCCAGGTGAACTGAAACCAGTTTCTTAAAGCTTCATTTTACCTTGGGTGCCTTTTGTGTGCTAAGAAGTCTTTGCTGAACCCGAGGTTGTGAAGATCATCTCCTTAGTTACTTGCAGAGGTCCGATTGTCCTATTCTCAACTCATTGCACCCACAGGTCACTGTCTTCCGAGAATTCATTGAGAACAACACAATGGTGGTCACAACCAGAAAAACAGCGATAGGTATTTAGTACTGAGCTACAAGCTACTCCACACAGGCTTGCAAACATTCACATGTACCAGACGCAACCTTGTTATGTGCCATTATTCCCCTTCTACAAATAATGCACTGCGGTACTACATCACCTCACGCGGAATAGAGGTTGGGGAGGTAGCGGTGATAGAAGATAAGGACCACATGACGAAAGGTAGGCGGTGGTAAACTTGTTACCTAAGCAGGGTTCTTCCCGAGAGACAGTCCGCTCAAGCTCAATGCGGACTGAACGTACTGGAAGGCATTCATTCCTTAAACGAACCTGTCCGGTGGGAAAAGTCCCCTACACTGCCAAAACTGGTGATCGTGGAGGAAATGTGGTTTCTCCAGTCTCCCAAGTTTTGCCTCTAGTACAACAACTACTCTGGTGTTCTACACGTACAAGGGAGACCAGTGAAGGCAAAGTTACGTCACAAAGGTTTCCACGTGTTGAGTAACAACAACAATGATTATTCTGATGTTCTGTACACACAGGAGAGGAGAGACCAGTGAAGGCTTTCTTAGGTTACGTTACAGCACGAATGTTTCCACGCGTTGAGTAACAACAACAACAAAGACTATTCTGAGGTTCTGTACACAGAGGAGAGGGGAGAGACCAGTGACGGCTTTCTGATGTTAAATGATGTCACGTTTCCTTGTGTTGAGTAACAATAATGCCTACTCTGAGGTTCTGTACGCACAAGGGAGGCCAGTGAAGGCTTTCTAATGCTAAATCCTGTCATGAGTGTTTCCTTGTGTTGAGTAACAATAATGCCTACTCTGAGGTTCTGTACGCACAAGGGAGGCCAGTGAAGGCTTTCTAATGCTAAATCCTGTCATGAGTGTTTCCTTGTGTTGAGTAACGACAACACTAATGACTATTGCGATGTTCTATACGCATGAGAGAGACCACTGAAGGCTTTCTGACGTGAGATCTGGCATGAGGAAGGCAGGACGGCAGTTTAAAAGCGCTCACAGTCTTAGGATGGGAGAGGCTTCGCACCAGCGTGAACTTGCGCGTGGTCTCTTAAGCTGGCTCACGTTACTCAAAGCCTTTCTGCGGTCCGTGCTGCACACTTCTGGTGGATTTTCTGGTGTTGGGTCAGTTGATGGCGATGGCCAAAGGCCTTCTCGCACTCGGTGCATTGGTAGGGTTTCTTACCTGTGTGGATTCTCTCGTGCTTCACCAGGCTGGAGCCGTAAATGAAGGCCTTCCCGCACTCCTTGCACTTGTAAGGCGTCTCCCCCGTGTGGATTCTCTCGTGCTGAGTCAGGTGGTAACCACAGTTAAAACCCTTCCCACACTCAGCACACTTGTAGGGCTTCTCGCCCGTGTGGATTCGCTCGTGTTTGACGAGGCTTGAGCCCCATCGAAAGGCCTTCCCACACTCCTTGCACTCATGGGGTTTTTCCCCAGTGTGGATTTTCTGATGTTGCGTAAGGTAATTCACGCGGGTGAAGGCCTTGCCACACTCCTGGCACTCGAAGGGCTTTTCCCCGGTGTGGATCCTCTTGTGCTGAACGAGGCTGGAGCCACAGATGAAGGCCTTGCCGCAGTCCTTGCACTCGTACGGCTTCTCGCCGCTGTGGATTCTCTTGTGCTGAATGAGCTTGTACACGCGGCTGAAGGTCTTGCCACAGTCTTTGCACTCGTAGTCCTTCTCGCCCGTGTGAAAGCGCAGGTGCTGGGCCAGCTCATCGCCCCGCCGGAAGGCCTTCCCACAGTCTTTACATTCGTACGGCTTCTCGCCCGTGTGGATCCTCCGGTGGATCACGAGACTCGACCCCCAGCGGAAGGCCTTCCCGCAGTCCTGACATTCGTACGGCTTCTCCCCGGTATGGATCTTCTGATGCTGGGTCAGCTGATTGCCCCAGCGGAAGGCCTTCTTACAGTCCTTGCATTCGTAAGGTTTCTCGCCCGTGTGAATCTTCTGATGTTGAGCAAGCTGGTAGCCACGGCTGAAGGCCTTCCCACACTCCTTGCACTCAAAGGAGCTCTCTCTGCTCGGGGGCTTCTGCGGTGGTCTAGCCGAGGAGGTGCCTTGTCCACAAGGGGGCGCTCTGTCAGAGCTCGCGGCCTTTGGTTGGAGACGTCCCTGTAGACGTCCCCGCGCTAGCGTAGCTACGTCCAGCTCACCTATGCACTTCCAGTCACGGCCAGCAGCGGATTGACGTTTCCGACGTGCGTTCCACTGGGAGAAACTCATCTCGTAAATGTCCTTCACTGAAGATAAGCTCTCGGTCTCAAAGGAAGACACCCAATCTGGAAAGAAAACACCTTTATGTGTTTCGTCTCCTTTCAAGGAAAGCAGAACAGAACATGACACCAACGACAGCGACTTCTGGGAAATGTTCAGCCAGAATACATACCTAGTCCCGCCCCGAAGGAGCGCTGCTAGCGTAGTGGTTACGAATCGGGCTGCGAACCTTAAGGTCAGCAGTTCGAAGCTACCAGCTGTGCCGCGGGAGAAAGATGAGGCTTTCTGCTCCTGTAAAGATTTACAGCCTAGGAAACCCTGTGTGCAAGGTCCCTATGGTTCGGAAACAGACTCCATGGTACTTAATCACAACAGTCCCGCCCTGCATCTGGCGCCACTGTGTGCTTAGACAAAGCATGGGCAGAAAGCCTCTACAGCCAACCCAGAAAACCCTGTTCTGCGGCTGTCCTGGCTGGTAGCTAGTGCTTGCTGCCTCTGATGCCGGCAACTCAATTCTGACTCGCGACACCCCTACCTCACAGAGGAGAACAGCACCATAGCATCTCCCATCCTGTACTCTTATGGGACGCCTGGTGTGGCGCGCCGTAGGATAAAGGAAGATTGGCGGTTCAAACCTGCCAACGGCTTATCAAAAACCCTCTACAGGGTCGCTAGGAGTTGGAAACCACTCGAATGCGTCTTTACAGGGGACTCTCAATGGGTTTGAATCTTTCCATTAGAAGCCTTGTGCTTAACTGTTTGTGTTACCTAGCGTGCCCTTCACCCCCTATTAGCTGACAAAAGAGACATTCACAGCTATAAACCCTGATAAGTGAAGGTGGACGATGACCATACATTGTGGGTTAATGCCCTGGACTGCAAAGTCAGTTTGAACCACAGGGTTGGCAGTTCAAGCTCATCAGCCACTCCTTGGAAATCCTCTACAGAGTCGCTATGAGTCACAATCGACTCGCCAGCACTTGACAACACCACCACCACCACTAATGAATCAGCACTAAACCGTAAGGTCGGTGGTTCAAACCCATCAGAAGCTCCTCAGAAACCCTCTACAGGGTCGCTATGAGTCGGAACCGACTCAATGGCACTTACCAACAATGGCAAAATAAGAAAACCAAAAATTAGGAATGTACGCACAGTTGGCTTGTTGTGTAAACAATATTCTAGAAAAACTGATGTATGCATATGTCGGATGAAATGTGACATGCCTAAGAGGTCAACTTTAGAATAACCTTGCCCCAATCAGGGGCACTAACTATAACAGGAGGGAACACATCAGACACTGGAATCCACAAGTTCATAACGACCAACTTTGGAACACGCTTGTCGTGGTTGTGAAGAGCTGTCAACTTGGTTCTGACTCATAGCGAGCCTGTATAGGGTTCCAAGGAACAGCTGGTGAGTTTGAACCACCACCCTATGGTTAGCAGTCTAGTGCTGATCCCACAGTGCCACACCACAGCTACGTATTTGGAACATGCTAGTGGGGGGGTTGCTGCTGATCCTAACTCGTGCGTCTGAACAGAGCTGTGCCGCGTAGGATTTTCCGTGGCTGATTACTCCAAGTAGACAGCCAGAACTGTTTTCTCAGGTGCCCCTGGGTGGACCAATCTTTCGGTTAACAGCTGAGCATGTTAACTGCATACTAGAAAACTCTTCTGTTTATAAAAACTGATACTTAAAAAAATTTTTACATTTGTTGTTGAGTATATGTACAGCAAAAAAGATACTATTTCAACAGCTTTAATGACAGATTACGTTCGTTCCTCAAACTGTACAACATTCCTGCCCTTTGCTGACTCGTTCCTCCTCTGCGAACGTACACTCGCTGCCTTCTAAGGGTCCTACCTAAACTTTCAAACTGCTGTTGTCCGTAACGCGACTCTGTATCCTCGGTAATTCCTGAAACCTGACTGTTAGCCTAGGTACCCTAGGTTCAGCGGCTGTTTGTTTTTTTTGTGGGGTTTATTGATTTTTTTTTGACAGAAGAGCTTCCTGTTCTTCAATCTGTTACGGTCTTCCAGCACAAGACCCCGATTACCTGGGTTTAGATTGTTATCACTGATACTAAATGCATGCCAAGACTCAACGGCTGATAGATAGGTCAGTATATCAAAATGTTGACGTCACTATAATTCTTTAAGCTGTCTGTTCCTGCATTGGCAGTGTTTATATTTGATACGAAAGATGAAGACTAGAATCTAGATCAAAAGAGGGGAAATGCAGAACAGTTTCAAATTCTCATGAACTCCAGACTTTCTGAAGCTGTGGGAACCCCTAAAATGACATCCTCAGATCATCTTCAAGTATTAAACCACAAATATCCCTGAAGTCTTCTTAAAACCAAAATAGCGGTTTAGCTTAACCAGCAAAAAATGTCTGTCTTGAGCACTGTGCTCTTCTGAGAGCTGTATTTGGGGTCACGTGGACAACAGCAGCTTGAAAGTTTAGGTAGGACCCTTAGAAGGCAGCGAGTGTATGCTCACAGGGAGGACCGACTCAGCTAAGGGCAGGAATGTTGTACAATTTGAGGAACGAACGTAATCAGTGTCATTAAAGCTGTTGAATTGGTATCTTTAGGATGTCAACATTTTGATATACTGAAACTATCTATCAAACGTTGAGTCTTGGCATGCGTTTAGTATCAGTGAAAACAATCTAAAACAAGGGAAACCCAGGTAATCGGGGTCTTGGGATGGAAGACCATAACAGATTAAAGAACAGGAAGCTCTTCCGCCAAAAAAATAAAAGATACCTAGGCTAACAGTCAGGTTTCAGGAATTACCGAGGATAGAGAGTCGTGTTATGGACAACTTGGCTCAGGGAGTGGTTCAGAGCCCAGCAACATCAGTACGCCATGGGGCTCAAGTGGGGTGGGAGGATGCAGGGAAAATGAAGCTCATAGGGAGACTTTCACTTCTTCCCGGAAGCCTTGGACTTTCTGGGTAAATCATATTTTACTAAGTTTTCAGTGAAGGTCCTCATTCAACAATTTCTCTACAAGTTGTTTGCTGACCTTGGCTAATGTTCTTTACAATGTGCGAAGATTGTCATGATTTTTGGCTCTAGTTGTTCTGTTTCCATTCATCTAGTTTCCCTGGCCCCTTACATTCTCATCTTTGCTATAAAGTAATTGTGGATTTTATAATCAATCACACAGGTGCTTTTTTTTTCTGAGGAGCACAGTACTTTTGAGCTAATTTGTAATTTAGCAACAGTGACCTCAGGTTCACGTCCATCAAGGCCTGAAGCATGTCACAGGGCAATAGTTTCAATCTATTTATGGGGAGTGGAATAGCTGGGCACCATCTCGTTCTTCTGGTCTCAGTGGCCTTGGTCCCTTGAAGGGCACTATGCAAACACGTTATGGGCCAAGCTCCCCTCCCAGGTGGGCCACTGGCCTTTCCCTTCCTCTGGACTCTTGTCCTTTCTCTCCCAGCCAAAAAGTCTCTTTCCCTAGCTTCAAAAGGAAATCCTCCCACTTTCAAAAATGCCACATGATGCAAAAAATAAAATTAAAACTTTGAAGTACAAAATTAAAACATGTTCTTTTGTTGAGACTACGCTACAAAACATAACATCAGTTTCTCCACATACAAGTCAGTGGCATTGGTTCCATTCTCCCCTCCTTTCTTGAGCTGCTGCTCCCTCAGTTTCCTGCCGTTGGTACTTTGCCCCCATAGAGGTAGGTCTTAGAGGAGCACAACGCTGGAGGCAGATATTCTTTACTGTTAACCCTAACTATTGTTCACTTGGCTTGTAAGAAGACTTCAGAGAATATATATTGGTTTAAGGTTTCAAGATGATCAAAGGGCAGTTGTTTCAGGGGTTCATCCAGCCTCCGTGGCTACAGAAAGTCTGGAGTCCATAATACTTGGAAAGTTTGCTCTCTATTTCCCCCCTTGTGATCAAGATGATCTCAGGGAGTATAAAATGTTTTTGATTGAGCCTACCACTAGGAGTCACCTAGTGGTGCCAATGGCTGCTAAGCACTTGACTACCACTGGAAAGGTTGGCAGTTCAAACCACCTCAGAAGGACTGGCAATCTGCTTCGAAAAGATCCCAGCTGTGAAACCCTACCGCGCATTTGTCTCTGCACACATTGGCTCATGGCTCACTGGGCATCAGAATCCACTTGACAGCAACTGCCAACACTAACAAGATGACGTGTGTGAAGTGATTCAAGGCAGGAACTCACCAAGAGAGACGAGGTTGCTGTAGTTCTCCAGCATCACATCCCAGTACAGGTCCCTCTGAGAAGGGTCCAGGCATGCCCACTCATCCTGAGAGAAGTCTATGGCCACATCTTCAAACGTCACTAGTCCCTGAAAAGACACATCCCCAAAGTTAAGGCAAGGAGTGAATCCACCACGGACAGAAGAGAGCCATGAGGTAGGCGTGACTGAGGAGAGCACCGATGTGGGCGTGGCTGTAACTGAGGAGCGATGTGATGTGGGTGTGGCTGAGGAGAGAGGAGCCCTGATGTGGCTTGACTGTAACTGAGGAACGCCCTCATGTGGTTGTGAGTGAGACAGAGCATCTACACGCTACATGAATTAGAGTCAACTAAGGAGCTCTGGTACAACAGGGTCACTATGAGTCACTATGGGTCGGAACTGACTCGACGGCACTGAACAACAATAAGAAGGCGCTCTGGTAGCGTAGTGGTTACGAATCGGACTGTGAACCTCTCAAGGTCAGCAGTTCGAAACTACCAGCTGCTCTGCGGGAAAAAGATGAGGCTTTCTGCTCCCGTAAAGATTTACAGCTCGGAAACCCTGTACAGGGTCGCTATGGGTAGAAACCGACAACCACCTAGACTTGCAGCCACCTAAACTTATCTATGCTTTAGTTACGTTGTAGAATCGATCTGCTATACATAATTCTTTAAAAGAGTACAATGCTCAAGGCAAACATGTTTTACTATTGCCATAAAACATGCTTTGGTTTGGAGACATCGTGGCAAAGTGGTTAAGGGCGCAGCTGGGCTCTGGCCTATACGGTCTCTATGATTTAGAATCGACTCGCTGGCAGTGCGTTTTTTGGTTTTGGTGTGAAATGAGCCAGAATGATGACGAGGTTACCCAAGTCCAGGTTACCCAAGTCCATTGTTCAACAGAACAATTCACCTCTCAGATGCCCTGGCAAGAATATGCCGTCCACATCTATAGGCCCAAATTGCTGTCTTAACCAATTCTGGAGACCTCATAAAGCTTGAAATCTCACCACATATCAGAACTACGGCTGGTAAACATGAACATTCCCTCTCATCTACCTGGACAAGGAGTCAGTGCATTTCTCTTTATCTCATTGGTCAAATGGGACCAACACTTCTGACTCATCAAACCAGATACTCCTTTCTGTCACTGTTCCACCACTAATCTTGACATAGAGATAATAATGTGGTCAACAATGAAGTGACCATTAACCCTGAAGGAGGCCGTGGGACTTACCATGTATTGAATTGTGTCCCCTTAAACTGTGTGTTTAACCCCCGTTCCTGTGGCTCATAGTGGTGTTGAAAAAATAATGACTACGCCATGGACTGCCAGAGAATGAACAAATCTATCTTGCAAGAAGTATAGCCATGATGCTCCTTAGAAGTAAGGATGGCGCAACTTGGTTTCATACACCTTGGACATGTTGTCAGGAAAGGTGGGTCCACAGAGGAGGCTATCATGTTTGAAAGAGTAGAGGGTCAGAGACAAAGATGAAGATGGATTGAGATGACACAGTGGCTTTAATGTAGCAACAATAGAGAGGAAGGTGTGGGACTGGGCAGTGTTTCCTTCTGTTGTACCAGGGCTTGCTGTGAGGTGGAACCGACTTTAACAACAACTTCCTGCAAATGTAATCCCAGTGAAATAGCATCAGTGTTGGGTGTATCTTAAAGCAATTCTCTTCTGAGATGTAAAAGAAAAGATTGGGCACAGATGCAAGGGAACACAAGTGGAGGAAGACAGAGGCCACGTAAGAGTTGCCCAAGAACCTAGGAGCAGAAACTATCAAGACACAAGGATCTTCTCTTAGAGCCTATGCCCTGAAATTACACACTTTAAACCTCCTGACCTGTGAGAAAATAAACTTTGGTTCTTTAAAACCACCTACTTGTGGCATTGCTGTTACAGCAGCCCCCGGGAACTCAGACCACCTGGCTTTTATTCTCCTTCCTTCACTGGAACAGGAAGGACTGGGGAGGAGTAATTAAGTGGAGCTCACTTAGGTACAGGGCTTTAAGATAATAAATGAACATGTCCTCAGAACCTGAATATCACATTTCCAGAAGGAAAGCAAAATCCATACTTACCTGGGCCATAGTTTCAGAATTTAAGAATCCACCCGTTCTTTCTGGGTTTATGTTAGGGAAGACACACAGTCCAGAGAAGCCAGAGCTAGAGGGAGGAATAAGAGAGATTAAAATCCAGTGTGGCACAGCCGTGTTCATGGCAGCACTTTTTTTCTTTTTTTTTTTAAATTTTATTGTGAATTATGTGCTAGTTTACATGGGAGAACATTAGCTTTACATTCATCCTATCGTATATCACTTCATTGCCATGGTTACAATCCCCTGCATGCATCATCAACCAACCAAAGGGTATACCCTACAAGCCTGCCCCCCGGTCCTCAGCCACTCCGTCTCTCCATGTCATTGTCTCTGCCTCCATCTCAGGCATCACTGTTTGTCTGGGTGTAGGGTCCCGCACTCCACTCTTCTCCCTTGATGGTTCCAGGGACCTCCGCTCCTAGACTGCAAAGTTAATCACGCCCCTCCTTTTGCTACAAAACGTCTACCTTTACATTTCCAACCCACACAGTCAGTCCCGATGACAATTAATTATTAACTGTTGTATCACAAGAGACCTATCCTCATCTCCTTTCATCAGCCCTGCCCAGACAGATTGGATACTACTCAGTGGAGAGTCTACCTTCCTCCGTGACCTCTGGATCTAGGCTTCCTCTTGAAAGTAGCACTTTGACAATAGATAAAGGTGGAAACCAGGGAACCCTCCATCCACAGCTGGATGAATGGGCAAACCCAGTGTGGTGTATATACACACAATGGGATACTACTCAGTCAGCGAGAGAAATGAGGCTCCAATGAAATCCACATGAGGGAACCTTGAGAATCTCATGCTGACTGAACAAAATTCAAATACTGTATGATCTCACTGATAGGAAATATATTAAAAAACAATGCTTTCCAGTCGATTGTGACTCATGCCAACCCATGTCCCAGGGTAGAACTGGGCTCCGCGGCATTTTGCAGCATTTTACTCTTTAAGGGAAACAGATCGCCTGGCCTTTCTCCTTCGGAGCCACTGAGTGGGATTCAAACCGCCAACCTTGCAGTGAGCAGCTAAGGACATAAATGTTAAGCCACTATGGCTCCTTAACTGCATGTATACCTTCACTTATTTAAAATGCGTTGTTAGATGCTAGCGAGTTAAGTTCTAACTCATTTGTACAACTGAACAAATCCTGGCCTGCTCTTGCATCCTCCTTACAATTCTTCCTATATTTGAGTCCATTAAAGGTAGTCAAGCTGTCAAATGTAGCGAGAAAGCTCAAAACACTTTAACTTTGGATGATCTTGCTGTTATGTGCCGTGGAGTAGGTTCCGACTCATAGTGACCCTGTACCGGGTTTCCAAGGCTGTACATCTTTACGGGAGCAGAAAGCCTCATCTTTCTCCTATGGAACAGCTGGTAATTTCGAACTGCTGACTGTGAGGTTCGCAACCTGATTCGTAACCTCTACACTACCAAAGTGCCTCTTGGCTGATCTTATGGCATACTTTTTTCTGTTTCCTTTGACTTTCTGATACCTAAACTAAACACACGATGCCTACATATGCCCACCTGAACTGAAGAACTGAAGGGTAAAAGGGCTAAAGTTCCAAGTGGTATGTGAAGAAAGTCATGTTGGCTGTTTCCCTTTGTTTTCTTGGGATTTTTAAAAGCACTTTAATAAAAGCTACATGTATAAAAACTGAAATTAACACACATTCTGAAAAATCACTGTTAATAGGAAGACCCTTGTCTATGTGTTTGGCTTAACCTCAACTCAGAATAACTGAGGCTCACTTATACCAACAATGCTGACGACTGGATTTAGTTAGCAAAAGTCACAAACTCGGCTACATGACCATAATACACAGGGAAATTATGGTCACATTAAAACACAAGAAATGTAGTAGACTTTTAAGGAAAATATTCAGTACTCTTGTTCACTAATTGAGCCTTGGGTTTTTTGTGTTGTTTTGTTTTTACAAAAACTATTTACACTGAATACAGGGCTACACATTCACTTTTAGTTTTCCCATATAAACATTACACATTCCAAACAATGGTACCAATACCATGAGTGAAAAGTCAACGCAGCAGGAAAAAGCAAATTTACAAAAAAGGAAAACAAAATCTTAGAAAAGGTAGATTTTTTTAAAGATGGTTTCTTACATAAAATGCACAAGAAGAATCTGCTGAATCAATTGTAGAGCTGGCCTGCGAGACTTAAACACCAAGTTATTGAAGGAAAAACCCTCAAAACCAAATGCTGCCATTTACAAATTAACCTAAATTGGGTCTTACTTGAGCAACAGCTGGGTTTTAAGTTGAAGGTAAGGCGGCGGGGAGGGGGCATGAAAAGATCTCTTTAGCAGGATGACGTTTGTGTCTTGAAGTTGCAATGAACTTCTAAAATATGCGAGGAGTTCAAAGCATATGAAAAGTACAAGTTATGACCTTACAAAAAGTATACACTGTCCACTGATCTGACATTAGGAAAATTAACAGTTCACCTAGGTCCTATATTTAAGTGCTGTAATGCGCTGGACTGCAACGCCAATTTGAACCGCAAGGTCGGTAGTTCAACCAACTCCACAACCCTCAACAACACAAATCCAGAAAAGTCGCTTTGTTCAATAAACGTTAGGGAACTGAGGTGGTACTAATGGAAAAAGTTGAATGAATAGCAGTTATCAACTGCAATTTCTTCAAGTTTCAGTCTATTGAAGTCAATGATGACAATGGTATTCTTCCTTACTCATCTAACAAACAACTTACTGTTAGAAAAATATATAAGGATCAAAAGGTAAATGTAAAACTCTGTGGAAACAAAACCCAACAGTTTTCCTGGTTACTGAGGCACCAAATGCCTAACATTGTATTTGGAGGTATCCTGATACTGCCATAGGTTTCATTGCAATTCCACAATCCCCAGCTCCAATTTTGCCAGCAACACTATCAGGGGAAGCAAAATGACTCCTGTTTTGTTCTTAGAACAAACTCTGTTGTTGAACTGTTGCCACTTCACCTTCTGGTCCTTTTTCCTGTGCTTTTCCCAAAGCTTTCTTCTTTTTATATTCATGCTGCTGGGCAAACATTTCTTGTTTTGACATGGCTTTGTTGCCACTGCCCTCCTTTGCCTGCCTGCCTTCTTCTATAGGCTTGAGGGTCAACAGTGGAGTCACTTCAGCATTTCCAGGGAGAATCAGCAAAGGTGATCACAGCGGTGCCCTTTTCTTCCTGTCTTCTCAATCTCCTCCATCTCCTCCATCTTCTCAATCTCCTCCATCTTCTCCATCTCCTCCATTTCAATCCCTCCATCTCCTCCATCTTCTCAATCTCCTCCATCTTCTCCATCTTCTCCATCTCCTCCATCTCAATCCCTCCATCTCCTCCATCTTCTCAATCTCCTCCATCCCTTCCATCCTCTCCATCATCTCAGTCTCCTCTAGCTCCTCAGTCCTCTCCCTCCACACTTTCCACTTCATAACACTATCTTCACTCCAGATTGCCTTAGTCTTGGCTCTTACTTTCCATGAATGAGTGGCCTGTGTAGAAGCAAAACTGTCTGAACTTACAAGAGTTTCAGGAGAGTTGAAAGAAGGTCTTTGGTTAGTTCTATAAAGTTCTCTTAAATCTTTTGTCAATTTTAATAAGTCTTTGTTTTCTCCATTTCTGGATAATGCAACTTCAACTTGCTGGAGTTTAGCTTGGTAGCTTGCCAGCTGATATGCAAAATCTTCTGACATCTTATGCAGGACTGGAGACAGGGTGGCGGGAAAGGGCTGGGATGGCTGAGTCCACTTGCTGTTGTTGCTAAGTGCCACTGAGTCAGTTCCGACCCATAGAGACCCTGGTATAGGGTTTCTGAGGAGTGACTGGTGAGCTTGAACTGTTGACCTTTCGGTTCGAACCCACTTTACAATCCAGCGCATTAACCTGCAGCACCACATCAGGAGTTCTGAACCCACTAGTAGCAGGGAAAACTCTGTAGCTTCCACACAGGCTTTGAAAAGGATGAAATCAGTATGCAATGACGGGAAGGGG